CATACAATGCCTGCTTTAGGTGCCCTGCAAGGTGGCCTATTTGCTATTGGCCATGTCTGAATGACCCAAACAAGCAAGCCCTTTGTGCAATAATTAAGAGGTTTCCCTTACATTGGCAGGCTGGTAATCAATTTGCAATGCCAGAGGTTGTTGCTGAAGCAATCTTCAGACTTTCATTGCAGCAGTTGGGATTCTTAAAGGATTTCAGTGGGGGTGTAGATTTGGCAGGAACATGTCACACTCAGGACTGAACTACAGGTGACCAATGCATTTGCCACATTTGCCCCAGGAAAGAACCTTAGATAGAGTGTCTTTATCGGCTGTCATGTTCACAAGCTCAGAAAAAAATGTGTATACCTCAAAGGGTTACATGAAGCCCTGTGTAAGGGATCAGAGTACATATACTTCTGTCACACAGGGTGAGAACAGGGGCTACCAACAAGGCCGTAGCCGTGGGTGGGGTGGGGTGGGGTAGGTGATGTTAAGAGTTCACTCCCTATCCCCAAAATGTGTTAGGTTAAAAAAACTGATTTACTCATGAATTTTAACTGGGTAACCAATTTATGAGTAAGTCAGGCTTTTTTTTTTAACCTGACACTTTTTGGATGGGAGAGTTAAACTCCTTTCCCCTTCAGCTACAGCCCTGGCTACCAATGACAAACTTTCAAAAGTGACCCATTGTAGAAACATATCCCCAGGGATGGAGAGTTGAAAACATTAATGTTCAACCTATCTCAACATGACCCAGTCAGAGAAATACATAAAATGGCTGCTCTCTGAAGATGTACACGAACGGGTCACTGGTGTGGAAGGTTCAAGGGGAGGAACCTCAGGGCCTGAGTTGGGGCCTTTGGAAGGCGAATGGGGAACAGGGGTCCTGGGCTTGAAGGTAGCACTTTCAAAGGCCAACCAGGAATAGAACAATTGACACTTTGATGGAATGTATCTCCCTTATCCTTCTGTTCATAGGAAGCCAAAGAGAGGATGATGCAGCCAGGCTAAATGCCAGCCTTATACCTGCAACTGCTAATTGAACGATGATCTCATCCACGTAGACTTCTAAAGGATGCCCAGAAGATCTGAGGCGACACCTTTTTTGTCCTGTAGGATGTGACAGGAAAGGAGCATGTTGGCTTTTTTTTGTTTGGTCATTGAATGATTGGCAGGGGAAACCCAAACCAAAAACAGTTATGTGACTCAGGCAGAGACATAATACAGCTCACAACTTTAAAAGCTATACAATTAAAAATATTCAAAGGGTAAATATTAAAATAGCATTAAACATGCAACAGTTATTAAAACTAATTCATTAAAATACTTAATGGTCGCATAACTAGTAAGTAAGCAAAGCCTCATTTGCTCTTGGTATTAACCAGAGGAATTGCTCCACCAACTAAGAACAGTCATGAGCCACTACCCACAGAATCCAGAAAGAGGTCTTGATCCATCAGTCCTTTCAGTGACCGGCCTCAATTAACTTTCTGGTGTTGTGTCAAAATTCAGCCATAGGCCACATTCCTGGTGATGCCCTTCCCATCAGTTGAAGCATTTATGCTTGCAAAACAAATTTTCAGCCTTGGGAACCACAAAAAATGCCCAATAAAAATGAGGGCCCATCCGGACAGCCCCTTTAAAAGAGGGCTGTCCAGATGACATCCTGGGCAACCCTGAATGAATACACCACAAACCAGGAAAACCCTGCTTTGTGGCAAATTAATTTGTTAGTGGTTTTATTCCATGCCTTCTTAGAAGGCGTGGGATAAACACACTACTTCCAGTGTCTGGGCTGCTCCTTCAAAAGTTCTGGACTTTTGAGGGGGCAGTCCAGACAGTAGTCCTGTGGTTTTCTGGGCTAAATTAGCTTGGAAAACTACGAGGCCACCAAAGGGAGGGCAGGAGGAGGAAAATAGCTCCTGCCCTCCCTTTCTCCTGGCACGTCATTTCTATGGGCCAGGACAGCTCCAGAAGCTATCTAATGGAGGCCAGGTAAGTGTTTTTTAAAGGGCTTTTGGGGAGGGGGTTAGAGTGTCCAGGTGTTCTCTTGGAAAGCTCTGGGAGAACATCTGGACATCCATTCCAGAAAGCATTCACTTTCTGGGGTGTGTGGATAAGGGCCCAGGAACATTCAAGTTTTTAAAATGCGAATGCCCCTGGGATACAGGGCTGTGTGGAAGCACCCTGAGTTACCTAATCATTGCTTTTTCTGTAGATAAATATCCCCATTCAGTCCATGGCTCTGTTTTCATCTTTCCTCTATTGACATGTACTATAGAAACACCATGCCAGTCTCCCCCTCCCACCAATTCAAACAGCTGTTTTCTGATTGGCACAGGCAAGTGACAAGTTCTAGTACTCTCCCTATTGTTCTATTAATCTACCATGAGACAATGCCTGATTGTTTCTTGGCTTGTCTAACTTTAAGAACTGATTAAAACTATGGTTAGCTATGGTTATGCAGTTTCTACAAGATTCCAAACACAAATCTTCGATATTCAGCAATTGTTTTAGTCTTCTTAGCTCTCCATTGTCTGTGGAGGAAACAATGTTTGAATAGTGGCAGGCTGCAAATTGAGAAACTGGTATAGCTTAAGCTATTTCCACTTGTGATGTTCCATCTGAGAAATGTTTATGTGACCACAGGTATATAGATATATACAACCAGTACAAAAACCAAACATTTAATGATAACAAATAAATATTTGTAAAGCTTTCTAAACAGGCTCGTTTTTCTTTTTTGTGGAGTCCAGTTGAAGTGTTTTCTGTAGAGTTCACTGTAAGCAGTGCACATTGTTGCTAACAAATTTGTGGAAATATTTCGTTATCCCCAACATTGAGCTAAAGGGATCCTATTTGGAGTCAGGACCCACAGTTTAAGAAGCAGTAGTTTAGACACTGGTATTTGGAATCTGTAAAATAATTCCATTTGGCAAAAGAGCTTCCTTTCCAACAGAAAACAAAAAAGAAACATTTGAACTCTCAGAAATGGCAGAGAGAGTATGAGGCATGGCATAATGTCAAGCAAAAGCACTGACAGTTTTGAGTATGAAAAGGTAACCTGGTATATTTACTGTTCTTGTTTATGATTTTATAACTGGTTGATGGTTATTGATATTCTTATGTTTTTATGTTCTCTTATGTTTGTTTTTATTGTTTTAATTATTGAAATGCAATGTATTTTAATTGAGCTATAGCTTACTTCTGTTTTTGCTGGGCTTGGTCCCCATGTAAGCTGCCTCGAGATACCCTTCAGGGAGATGATGGCGGGAAATAAGAATAAAGTTGTTGTTGTTGTTGTTGTTGTTGTTGTTGTTGTTGTTGTTGTGTGCTTTATTAGTGTAAAAGAAGGGTTGTTAGGGATTATTACTCCTTTTCTGTATAAGTTGAGCATCCCTGATCTAAAACTCTGAAATACAAATTTCTTCAAAATTCAAAATTGTTCACATCCGTTTTCTGATAGTTCAATGTACACAATCCTTGTTTCAAGCACAGAATTATTAGAATATTATATGTAAAGTTTATTTCGGGATATGTGAATAAGGTCCATATAAATTAATTCCATGTTTAGACATGGATCCCATCATGAAGATATTTCATTATGTATATGCAACTACTACAGTATTGTAAGGCACACTAATGTCAGTATCAACAACAACAAAATACATAAGATACGCCCATGATTTTGGAATATACTCTATTTTTAAAGATGTTTACATGGGGGAAAATGTATCTTAGAATCAAAGGAATACTGTATTGCAAAATCTTAAAAACACTTGTGGTTGAAAGCATTTTGGAGAATGAATGCTCCATATGTATCACAAATGGGTTCTTATGCATTAACAACTGCTAAAGTTAGTTTCTAGTGATGCTAATCCTTATACCTCAATTCTTATACATATTTTTTTTTTTTTAAAAAAAAAAGAAGTCTGAGGAGGGCAAGGGAATTATATGTATTGCAAGATGATGAAGAAAGCGTCATGGAGATTCAGTGCGAGAAGATGTGACTTTAATAAAAAGATGGCAAAAATCTAGCTGACACAGCTTTTCTATTTGCTGCAGGATTGTTGCATAGTGGTTGGGATTTTTGGGGTGTGGTGATAGTGGTTCATGAATCACCAGTAATGGAGAGCAGTAGGAGGATTTATTTGCTAATCATAGTATCTTTTCAATATAAAGGCATGTCCAATAGGTTGGTCACTTATAATTCACTAAAAAAGAACCTACATTATCATAAAAGCTACAGTCATTTGAAAAGAAAGGCAATATATCATGATGGCTTTTGGATTTGGTTTATTTTTCAAGTTCTAAACATTGATGAGTAACTTTAGGTCCCTGCTCTCTTCAATTGCGATTCATCATTTTTAAACTGGACATGGATTCAGTGGACCCTCAAATAGAATATGTCACTGGCATCCCTTCAAATACAAGAGATTTCTTTAGACAGTAGATGTGGTCAACTGTAATGCAGGCTTCCCCTTCTTTTGATACCTCATTTTCTGATGATTTGCTCTTTTAACACTTGTAAATTGCAGACAAGTTCCATTAGTTTGAGAAGGGGTCCACTATTTTGTCAGTCTTTTTGCCTCTAAGGCTCACTTGGGGCTGCTTACAAACATGTGCACAGTCCTAAAACTTGGCTGTGGAAAGACTGGATCCTTTCTTAAATAACTTTTGAATGCATGCAGAAGTTCTTTTAGTATTCATGTATTCAAATGTTGCATATTTAGATGTTTCAGCAGCCAACATTTACGCGCAAGTTTTAAAAAAATCTGAGTTCCACTTTTCAACTGATGCTACTTACTGCCCATGCTATGGTCCATAAGCCATCAGATAAGTGTGGCTCTTCCTATATCTAAAGCCCTCACTGGTTCTAAAGACATTCTCACCCCATACAAGAGTGCCACAAGAATAACTTCATCATACCATGGATATTCTCACATTGATACATGTAGAGATCATTGACATGGCAGTTAAAGGCAGTGGGGAAATAAAGAAACTGCTAAAGTGCATAGATGAGGGCTTTTCATGCAATTGATCTGGAGGAACCAGTAATCATTTTGTTCTAATGTGCCATGGACCAGTACCATATTTATGCTAGTTGGCTAACATTGTCTCTTTCCTAGAAATACATCCAGAACTGACAGCCAATGGCATGAGAATAAACACTGTGCATGAACTACAACTTGGCTAGATGGGTGTCTAAGATGGGATGGTAACAGAGAGGAAATTGGGTAGGTTTTGTATCATCTCTTGAAACATCCAGTTAGGATTGGAAGGGAGGGAGGCAATTTCATTTGTCTGACCTTGCATTTTCTTGTTACTGCAAAGAGGGATGCAAACAGAAGATGGCAAATTCCCTCTACACTTTTGAAACTAGAGACTCGTTGAGGAGAGTGGATTCAGGAGAAACTGCTTTAAGAAGACATTATACCAATGCAGGTATCTGTCAGCTCTTCCAAAAGAATGATTATTTGATGAAGATGACAAAGCAGAATCGTGCAGAACTATTTGCAATACTGAGTGCTGTGGCAATTTATTTCTTGTTCCCTGTTTCAACCCTCACCCCACCCCTCCAATACTTTTGTAACCGCATGGTGATCTGGGAGAACAGGGACTGCAGACAGCTTGCATCTGATATTTTAGGCAAGCAACCAAGTTGGATGTGGAATCTGATCTTTAGTTCATATGCTGCCCTTTTCATAGTCTAGACAACGTGTATCAAAAAGAAATAATGAATAGCAATTATGCTAGATTGAGTGCCATGGGTAAAATATAAAATTGGAAACAGTTTGTCTTGCTTTAATCTTTTACATACACAAAAGAAAACATATAAGAGGGTTTTTTTTTCTTTAGAAAGTGCCGTGCTATATATATGGAAATAACAAATGACATGTCACATAATGTACTAAGGTTAGGATTTTCAGTGAAACTAGATACAAATTACTCAGATTTCAATAAGAATTCAATAGCAACTGGACAGTAAACTCCCATAAGGCAGCAATCCTTCTGTGATTTGTGGGAGAGCAGTCCCGTTCAGCACAAGCAAAACTAAACTGGGTTTTGGTTTGCAGCGTGAAGCACCATTGAAAATCCCACCTGAACAGTTAACATTTCAATCTGACATTTTAAAAAAGGAGGGAGAGAGAGAGAGAGAGAGAGAGAGGATCATGGAAAAACATTTACCATATTTTTTTTCAGATGCTGTTTGCTCAAACAAGGTAGGGGTTTTAATGCCTGAGGTATAGGTAGTTCCTGGATGCTTTTAGGAAAATGGGAGGGAGGAAGAGTCTGAAGGATGGTTTGCATAGATTGAAGATATAAGGAAGCAGGTGTCTTTCCCACCAGGCTGTTGAACTTGTCCTCCCCCAGCAAAAGAGTCCAAGGCTCCGGATGCTCCTGTAGAACTCTCCGCATCTTGAACTGGGGTCTGGGCATGAACAGCAAGAGGTAATCGAGGCAAAGCTTTTTGGATGCCACATTGACTTTTGAGTCCCACATCTGTTCCAGGATGACATCCAGGGGGGTAAGCCCTTTGCTGTCTTCTATCCTGGGGGAAGCCCCATTCCCTAGGAGGATGAGGACAGTCTCTGACCTCAGGAGCTCACAGGCAAGGTGCAGGGGTGTCTTCCCATCTTCCAGGTGAAAGCAGCCGGTCCTGTTAATGTAGGAGTTCAAGCTGGGCAGCTTGTGCGCAATGCTGATAATGAGCCCCAAGATGTCTCTCCTGTCGTAGGTTACAGCCATGGCTAAGTGAGGTGCAGAGGATGGGCAATAGCAGAAATGCTCTCCGGGGACTTTGAGAGCTTCCTCTGGAAAATGAGACAGCAGATATTGGGCGTAAGGCAGGTGGTTGTGCACCACTGCATAGAGCAGGGCTTCCGATGGTGAATATGTCCTTAGGCTAGCATTTTCCTCCCAGTAGAAATACTCCATAGTCCTCATGTCCTCCAGCATCCACACAGGCTTGTGGTCTCGGACAGCCTGGTAGAACATATAAGATAAAAACTTGCAGTGCCTGCTTTGGTTGTCCTGCAAACTGGCCTGGTTGCTATTGGCCATGTCTGTACAACCCAAACAAAGAAGCCCTTTTGTGCAGAAATTAGAATTTCGCCCACAATGGCAGGCTGGTGTTCGATTTGAATGCAGATGCCAGAGGCGGCTGCTGCTGCAGTCTTCAGACTGTCATAGCAGCAGCTTGGATTGCACTAGCCAGAAAGCATAGCTCTCCTCTGACAGGCTGTTCATCTCCTCCCATTCAGTGCTTTCCCTCTCTCACTGCAGTGGCTTTGTTGAGGTAAGCACAATCCCGCCAGCTCAGTTAACTATTGCCATACTAGGCAGGGAGCACTGCATACCATTTTTCTCTACACAGCACACAGGTTAGTGAAATACTAGTAGATCTGGGTGTGTTTGTGAGTGTAAAACTTGCATGAGTATATCATCAAGAGAGGGGTTTTTTTTTTGGGGGGGGGGGGTGTGATTAGCTTTCCAAGAGAAGTTGTTTTGTGTCTGCATTTTAATCCCAAAAGAAACATTTTACTGCAGTACAACATCCAAAATCCATAAAACAACACTACCTTTATTGGACCAACCAAAAATACATCATGCAAGCTTTCAAATAATAATAATAATAATAATAATAATAATAATAATAATAATAATAATAATAATCCTATCAATGTGTGATCTAATTCAACAGCCAGCAGAGTGTCTGGTGTGGACTCATCTAGTTGTGTTTATAATAATAATAATAATAATAATAATAATAATAATAATAATAATGTGGCACTTTCAAATCCAAACTGACAAAGTTTTGGAACATAATACACCAGACATCACGACTGTGGAAAAGAAAAAAGTTTAGATAATTCATGTCGCCATACAAGGTGACAGTCGCATTGAGGAAAAACAACAGGAAAAACTCAGTCATTATTTATTTATTTCGAATCAAAAGCATTGCATAAATTAGTATAAAACTGAAGGCGTGCAGGCGGCTAAATATCTTTTGACAAAAAATGGTACATGAGGGAGGGCACAGTGGACAAGCATACAGATGCGGAGTTGTCTGTTCTGCTCCACAGTCACACAAGGTTTGGGATTCTTTTAGGTAGTGCCATTTTGCCAGGTTGTTGTTTGATCTGCCAACTCCACTTCTGAGTCTATTCAGGGACTTCCAAGTTGCCCATTCGTGGTTTGCCCCTGAAGGAAGAGGTTATCAGGACTGCAAAGGCTCTGGCATAAACCAGTACAGGTGGTCCCAGTGGTCATCGGCACACTGGGTGCCATGCCAAAGATCTCAGCCGGCATTTGAAACAATACACATTGACAAAATCACAATCTGTCAATTGCAAAATGCCACCTTACTTGGATCTGTGTGCATCATTCAAAAATACATCACACAGTCCTAAATGCTTGGAAGTGTTAGACTTGTGATTTTGTGATGCGAAATCTAGCATATATATCTCGTTTGCTGTGTCATACTGTGTTTTGTGTCTGAATAATAATAATAATAATAATAATAATAATAATAATAATAATTTATATTGTGCCACCATTTCCCAACAGGGACTCGGGGCAGCTTACAAGACATTGCAATGCAGTATATAACATAAATTATAGACGAGTATAAAACAATATCACATAAAAATTATAAAACAACCACTATCAACACATAAAATAAAACATCACAATTTAAAACGCAAAACCATCAGTAGCTAAAACCAGCTGCCATCAATTCGAACTAAAGTGCCAATGTCAACCTCATACGGGCTCAATTCAGCCTAAAATTTGGCCAAAACTCTTCTTCAAAATCCATGTTTTTAGGCTGGAATGAAAGATTCAAGGGTGGGAGTTAATCTAATATTTTTCAGGAGGGTATTCCAGAGCCTTGGAGCCACTGGGCTCTCTCTCTCATCCCCACCAACCGCGCTTGAGCTCCACTGGCTTCTTCATCTAGTAAGGGTGTTAACACAGCTGTCCCTGGGTGAGTTTTGTTGCAATAGAATCTCATGTGTGTGAAGATCAACTTGTTTGGGTAGTCGAGAGACTTGGATTGGCAGTCTCCCTACAAATTCAGTCACTTTATGACACAATTTAGTATGTGGAAATTCAAGGCATCTGTTTTTGCCAAAATGATAGTTGCATCACAGTTCCACATTACAGACTTACCTGCATGAAGCTGGCATTCCCACAGGATGAATCAGCTATTAGTCCAGCTGGTATAAATATGGGGAGGCTTTAAAATAAACCACACCTCTATATAACTTGGGTAGTATAGTTCTTTTACCTAAAGAGCATTTGCCTTGCTCTTTTTGCTTGAAGTCCACTAATTTGACTCATGATATCCAAAGTTCTATAGTAGAACAGTACAGTGTATGGAAATGGGAATTCTGAGACACAGGAGGTTTAAATATAATATCATACCAGAGGAAATGGTGGTGGTGGAATTCTTCAAGTTTTTCTTGTTTGGATGTCCAGAATAGTTAGGCAAAGGTATGCTGTTTCGGTGGAGAGATAATTACCACAATTTGATATTGATTTTGGCAATATTTAATATGACTATTATTGTGATTTCTTTTTATTCTATGAAGTTACTTACTCTTATTCCCATATTACAAATCGCTGACTCAGAGTGCCTAACTTCAAGGTTACACAGGGACTTAATGACAGAAATCGGATTTCAATTTCTCTCTCCTCTTCAAGTCACGTTCCTATTTGTTTATTGTTGTACCTTTCTTCCATGACTGGACCCAATGAGGCCTAAAGTATAAGTTAAATACCAAATACATTATATAATATAGAATTGAAAAGCCATTATATAGGCAATACTATTAAAATGTGTTTAAAAAATAATTCCAGATACATTAAAAAGTATGCTTAAAACATCTACTCGTTGTGGATTATTATCTATTCAATATAATGCTTTATATGGGGTTAGATATAAAAGAATGTTTTCGTTAATAGTGTTACATATGGACAATAGGCTTGTTTGATTAAAAAAATGGTTCAATACTCGTTTTGGATGTAGGGGGCGCTGGCGATTCGATTTTGAAATGATTTGTGAAATTTTCTTGAAAAAAAGATCGGAAATATCAGAAATCTGAATCGCTTCGTTAATGGAAGGTGCCCTCCAGAACCATTAAGTAACTTTGGCAAAGCCAGAAAGCCTAAACAAACAGTTTTAAAATCTCGCGGTTTCTTCTAATGATAGTACCATGATAAATGATGGAGTTAATGTATTATGATAGTACACAAACAGTGCTGATAAAAAGATCAAACTACATCCTGGATCTCTTCCTCATTACCTCTAGCATGTTTCCATCTTTTAAAGTGATTAGATCCCCAGTTTCCCTTCCCTGGCGGCGAGCTGCGATGCAGAGGGACGAGGTGGGTGTGGCTAAGCACAGCTCTTCTTGAAAGCCACACCCCGAGCGACCTTCAAGAAGAGCTGTGCTTAGCCGCACCCACCTCGTCCCTCTGCATCGCAGCTTGCCACCAGGGAAGGGAAACTGCGATATTTTAAAACTAACACTTTTAAAATCTCGCAGCTCCCCTTCCCTGGTGGCGAGCTGCGATGCAGAGGGACGAGGTGGGTGTGGCTAAGCACAGCTCTTCTTGAAGGCTACTGGGGGCGTGGCCTTCAAGAAGAGCTGTGCTTAGCCACGCCCACCTCATCCCTCTGCATTGCAGCTCGCCACCAGGGAAGGGAAACTGTGAGATTTTAAAACCATTTATTAGGCTTTGCCAAAATTGCTTAATGGTCTTAAAATGAAAATAACTGTGGGAGACATCCGAAAATAATTCCGAACAATGGGTAAGTGGTTTAAATTCGGAATTGCTCCTCCCAAAAGGAAATTTAATCCGAATTAATTCCGATTTTAGAAGCTTCCGAACGAACTCGAACAAGCCTAATGGACAAAGCAATAGGTGTGAATCAGTTTCCATAGGTTCACTTTGAAAACTGAATTGAGACTACTAATCAAGAAATTGGGTTTGCAGATCTTGAGCATTTTTGTTTAATAAGCTTTTAGGAATGTATAATGTATCCCTAATCAAAATGCTGGCATGAATCATGATTCTTTCTCTCTCTGAGCTTTCAAAGAGCAATTAGCTGAGAACCTATATAGCACATTTCCTTTACTCTAGCTGTGCAGAACAGAAATTACATAGCATGCCAAGCCTTAATGTAGTTGGAGTGAAGCACTTCTCTTTTATTATTGTTGTTGCTTAATTTCCTTTCTTCTCTAAGTGGAGATAATAATTCAGAAAATAACAGTGATAAAGTCTTGTTGATTTTGCAAAAGTATGGTCAGAAGATGCTGTTTTTAGCTATTTCTCAACCATCTCTCTTATGTCAAATGCAATTATCCTTCAATGAGTATAAGCAAACCACTGTAGTTGGAGAGATCAGCCATTTACCTGGCTCTTGATAATTTCGTAGTCAGTAGTGCTTAAGTGGTCCAAGATTATTCTACAAATGCTAATGTCTGAAATCTCCAATTTTCTCTATTCTTTCTAGCTGATTCATTCCAATTAGCTGTTAAACTTGGCCTGTACAACCTGTGTTCCTCTCGGTGTTTGGTACTCCCAACTCCCACCAAAGCCATAACCAACCAGTCCAATGGTTAAGAATACAGGAGCTGACATCACAAACACCTGGAAGGCCACAGGTTGCGTAGGTCTGAGAAAAACCAGCTAGTTTCTCTCCTATGAAATAAATATTAGGGATTTGTGATCAATGAAAAAAAAGTTTCAATACTCATTACAAAATTAGGGGGCAATGGCAAGTTGTTTCTAAACCATTTCTAAAATATCATGAGTGTCCATTTCATTACTATAATGAGAGTAACAAACTTTTCGTTACTATTTTGTTAAGTAGTTGTGCATGGGGSGGGGGACTTCTGAGGATCATTCTCACTCATTTTTAGAGCTATTGGGGTGAAACTTGCTACAATAGTAGAACATATTTGCCACTGTTAACTMCCCCCCCCCCTCAAAAAAAACCTCCCAAGAGTCAGAACATTTCACTCACCTCTTGATTTTGGGATTTTTAAAGGTTTTCACAAAAACCTTTTTAACCAGGGCATCATTTATCCCAAGTTTTAGAAAGATTTGCACATYTTATGACTTTTGAGGAATTTTAAAACTTTTTTCAAAAAAATCTTTTTTAGTTGCCTCTGTCTCCCCCCCCCCCCCCGAGTAATGATTGGCTCAGAGGCATAGCAACATGTTTGGCTGTTGGCTTTGCCTTCTGGTAGTGCTTGGTTGCTCTGTGAATTAAAACTGCTTTACAGAGAGTTATGAGTTTTACATAACTTACGAAAAGTTTCTATTCTTAAATTTTTGGGCGACGCCTGTACATTGGATATTACGTCATATGCATGGATCTAACAAAATAGATCTGACTTACAATGGTGAATAGAAATTTTGTACAGCCCTAATATGCATTTTTGAAAACAATACATGAAATAAATCCATGATTTCGAATTTAGCAGCTAATGATTTTAAAATGAGACCTTGTTCTGTTTCAGTAAAAGCAACATGAACAAATTCACTCTGTGAACTCTATCTGTAGCTCTAACGAGAGAAGGTGGGTGGGTTAGTGTTTCTTTGGAATTATAATTGCATTAATTTTCTTTTAAAAAGCAATTTTACCAAATTGTACCATGTATATAGAACCCATTACTGATGTGAGTATAAATTTAATGTATCCTGAGTTCTATACGGATATTAAATTGTAATCCCTGAGCCATATAAATGTGCTATGGAAACAAGACCACATGCTCAGTGGCAAAACTATGTATTTTACATGTCAGAATACAACCACATCTGCAGCATAAACAGCCAAATCGTTTGAGACCCTTGTGGACACACAACCTCTGATCCACTACAAATATCAAGTTGCTTTGTCCAGTGATTTCCAAATAGCAAGACTCGAAAAGATCTTGCTCAATTGATAGCCAACCATATGGGCATCCCTAGTTGGGAGAAATAATTTCATTTTGAAATGTTTAAAACTGGTGAGAATGTAAATTAATCATCTTAAAATCATGACAATGAATTGCAGGCACTTTGTAACTGAATTGCTATGCTATCAAGATAGATTTGATTCACACATAGAAATACCACTTCTTTTCTCTGTTCCTGAATATTGTATCTTTGTTTTGTATTTTTTAAGTGTTCAATTTCCAGTTATATAAAAGAGCTGTAATTTCATCAACATATATAACTCATAATCCATTATTACACCCGTGAAGTACTGAGGTAGTACCTCAGGTTTTAACCCTTTATGCATCCACAAAGCCAACAGAAATGAGAACAGAATTGGTGGAGGACAGAAGGAAGACAAGTTTCAATAAATGGCCATGTAACAATAACTTTAAGATAACTGCAAAAAGAAGATAGATTGCTTCCATAGTTAGCAGTTTACTGTGTCATTCTTAGCTAATTTTTCATTATATGGATTGTGAGTTCAAATTTGTAGTGTCTTCCAAAAGGCTACTTTAGATTTCTCCAGTGCTTGAAGACAGCAATGTAGAATCATGGTTGAGGAGAGGATAAGATTCCTAAGATAGTCAATTATAACAATAGTGTGAAACTATAATCACCCAAACACTGTGTGTTAAATATTGGTATCCAAGAGAAACTTTGCAATGAGATCACTGAATATGGATTGGAAAGGACTGCAAAGGTCACTCTGTCCAATGTTTTGCCATGTAGGAATGACATAAATAAAGCACTCACAAGATAATACACTCCAATCTTTGTTTAAAACCTCCTAAGGATGAGTGTACACCACCAATGAAACGTGTTTTTAAAAAATAATTCCAGTAACGAGCAACCAGATTATAAATGAAAGGCTCAATCTTAATGGCTGTACCCATGTATTTCCTCTGATGGGAGATCTGCCTCCACACTCTCTAGCAACTTTTCCCTCTCTGCAATGAAAAACTCCTCACCAAGAAAGACATTTGGACTTTGGTAGTTTGAACTGAGATGGTAGAATGTTTTTAAACTATTACATGTTGCTGAAATTGATGCTTTTTATTTTATTTTAGGTTTGTTGCTTTCTAACTTTTATCTTTAGTAACATGTTAAGCTTCTATACTTATTAGTCCCCTTGGATTTTGCAACAGAAGCAACACAAAAAACATTCAAGTAAAGTAAATAAACTAATCTATTGAACAATATAGTGTTATACAGGGTGAGGCAGCATAACTTCCTTTTTTAAAATGCGTGCCATTCAGTCGGTTGAAGACGTAGTGGAGCGCTAGTGGTCTCGTTTGAGAGGCGGGAGTATAAAGTTTTGTCCTGACACAGTTCAGTTCCAATCATGTGTTGGAACAGTGCGAAGCGTGCTTTTGCCGTTGAGGCCTACTTGAGCAGAATTGGAGTGGCCGGCCCACTCTCCATATTTGGCCCCTTGTGATTTTTTTCTATGGGGTTTTTTGAAATCCCATGTTTATGTGAACCATCCAAGGACCCTACAAGATTTGAAGACCAACATCCAGGAAGAAATTGCCAATATAACACCTGCTATGCTGGCAAGAGTCATGACAAACGCCAGAAATCAGTTTACTCAGTGTATGGAGAATGGAGAATGGGGGAAGTCACCTACATAATTTGATCTTCAAAACTATGTAAAACAAAACTTTAGGTATGCGCCTACTTTATATATAAAACATTTTTTTTCTGATTCATACAATGGGTTTAATTAAGTATTGAAAAAAGGAAGTTATGCTGCCTCACCCTGTAAAAACACGTCTCATTACTGAGAACTCCACTTCAATAACATGTCAGAAAAGGATATGTGAAGCCTATTTCATAAAGCATATTAGTGGGAGACCATCCAAGACAAAACAGAGTTTATTGTACTGCAACATCAAAAATACATGTAGAGTACATCAAGGGCTAAGCCAATGACAATTTGCCAGGCCAGTGAAACAAACCAAGCTACTAAAATAAGAGGGATCTACCAAAGTCAATAATAAAGGTTACTCATCAGAGGCACAAGTACACTATTGTTTAAGTATCCTGATTCAACTCAACTGCAGTACACAAATCTACAGATTTTCCTTCTAAGTTGCATATTAGAGCTACTTAAAGTTCAAGCTAAGAGGGGTGCCCATACTCATGTAGCTCAGTGGCCAGGATGCTTCCTGTGGAGTGTGAAACATACATCCACAACACCCATTCAATTTGCCAGTAATATATGGGAGGTAGGGTCATGGAACAATTCCTAAAGGCACTTGCAGTGGCACCTCCCCCAACAATCCCAGCCACTGCAAGTGTGCTTAGGACTGAAGTGGATAGGACCAATATTCTTCTTGCAATAGGGATGTTCTGTTGTTTTTGCTCACTGTTTGAAGTTAACAGATGTGTAAGAATCAGTCATAATAAGGCAAATACTTAGTCTATGAAATACCTAGTACTGATAAGATAAAAAATGTCACCATCCATCTATGATGCAGCTCTTGGATTTCCAAAAACGTTAACTTGGGCAGGCCATGCTGACAGCAAAATCTGGGCACCCCTGAGTATTGGGAGTCTACACAAAGGTTTGTTCAGATGAGCAAGAGACAGTATTTCAACACAAGTATTTGCTACAGGAAGCACCAGGTAACTCAACGACTTGGGTACAGCCACATGAGCAAGTTGTGCTGGTAAAAGCAGTAAAGGCGCAGCACCACAAGATGCAACTAAGAGTAAGAGCTTTGACATCGGAAGCAGCATTCGAAGACAAGCTGTTTGCCATTCAAAATAGTTGTAGACCAGATGCCTCACTGTAATGCATAACTGTACATGCTGGCATGCCCCTCTTTCTTATAGCCAGGTTTTTAATGCAAAGCTAGACATTAAAGGGGAAGGGAGCTCTAAGATTAAGAGTTGCAACTTTCCTAGTCAGAGAGATCAGCCAAGAGGGTAAGAAATACACTTCAGCTACAGCGACTGCTCAATCTCCATTACTACCAACACAGTTTTGAAGCAAGACAAGACCAGTCAGCCATTTCTTTATATTATTGTGTAAGTTACATCTGAAAACTGGAAAGACAAGTAGATTTCCCCTACTTAAAAAAATAGTCAACATGTCACATGGTGAAAGGGGTACTTAACTAAATAAGGAATGGCAGCAACTTTGAGTTACACACAGGAAGAGAGAAAGACAAAGACAAGCACAGGCCTTGTACTATCAATGAACCCCAACAAGAATATGAACCAACGGCCAGCACAAACTGGACTAAACACTGGACCTTTAGCATTCATCAGATATTAATGATGTCTTAAACCAGCAATCAGATGGAGGATCTAGCTAAAAATGGATTAAAATCTTATGAGAGAAATGGAAATAAATTAAGATATTACTCAACTAAAATTTCCTCTTGATATAGCAGGTTTGCAAACTAGAATCCAACTGATTTCTCTAAAAAAGAAAAAAGAAAAACCTTTCTTCCTTTCCTTTCCAGTGATTTGTAACTTCAATTACATATCTGAGATTGAAGGAGAAAAGGCAAAGCTACAGCATCCACAACATTTTCTATGTAAAACTGAAAGAAACAGGGTTTTTTTTTTTTAAATGAAAGAATAAAGAACAATCCTTTTGGAATTTTCACAATCTTTGCCCCTCTGTAGTTCATAAATCCAGCACTGATGCTAAGGTGACAGTGTATATAGTAATTTTTTTGTTGATTTTCCTCTTTTTAAGTTTCAACAGAGAAAATGTGAAGACATAGAAATGTCCACTCAAGAGTTGTCAGATGGCACATGCTCCTCGAATCCTTCACTCTCTCGGACTAAAGCTCTTTCCAGAATAACACGGCCTTCCTTGTAGCGCTGGCTGTCTTCAGTAGCAAACTCATAAATCCAGCCTAGCTTGCTGTTGCAGTTCTTGCAGCTCACATCGCGAACCATGTGACGACCAGTGAGCATGACTCGATCTTGGACTTCACTGTACTGCAGATTGACTACCTGTAATAGATAAAAGACATAACGGTAATTTGATAAATATTATGTCAATTGTGAGGGATTGAAATTATTTATAAAAGCATCATAGATAAATAAATGTATCTCAAACAACAAAGCAGTCATTGATATTTCATACAATAACAATATGTAACAAAGAAAATATACACTGAAAATAGTAGTGATCACAGATACCAAGATCCACATTATGATCCTTCTTGCACTTCTTGAAAAATTTATAACCACTAGACAACTTTGGGATGGTTTAGAGAAGGAGTGAAGAAAGTGCATCTGTGGATTATGCATGGCTCCCAGTCCCCCTTTTTGTAATTCTCCAACCCCTTCCCCCTACACTGGAAGAACAAAAAACCTGTCATCAACAGAGCAGAACCTCATTCTGTAAACATGTTTTTTATTACTGATTAACTTGCTGAATTTGTGTTATGACTAAAGTGTATAAACCAGAAAGGAAATTATTTAATAATTAAAAAATAAAGCTGTGCTACCAGTATACGGACACAGTAGAACTCCACAGAAAAGATGCAGAGGAACCTGGAAGTTTTCAGGCATTTTTAAAAGACAAGGTAGAAGAGCACTACTATTCCACAATAAACACCACTCACCCTACAAAATGCACCCCTTCATGTCCTCTACTTATACATGGAAAAGAGCTCTTCAAATCAACCAAATTATGATAGGGATGATTCAGTACAGCCCTTCAGAAACATTCAGCAAAGGTTAATGATCTACCATTACCTACCTTATAATTGCAGTCATTATATGAACATGGCTACACTTGTACAAACAACAGTTTATAATCTCACTGATATTTCAAAAACTTCCAAACTAGCCTCTTAAAACTGAAACCAAATAATTATTTTTATTTATTTACTACATTTATATCCTACCCTTCTCAACCTTGGAGGGGACGCAGGGTGGCCTTACAAAGGCATCAATTCAATGCCATATATTAATACATCGGTAAAAAAACAAAACGTTAAAATCAAACCCATTAAAACATAGCATTAAAAAATCAATTAAAATCACATGATCCAAATCGTATTCTAGGCCTGATCCGAGTATCATGGTATTAATTTTTAGTCTCATGTTGGAATGACTTTTGTTTCTTTACTTTAGTATGTCTTAGTTTTATATTTGAAAACTTTTTTTTGTAACTGAACACTGAATATTTTCAAAAGTGAATTGTGCTTTTAACAATAAGTAGTGACCCAGCCAAAGGCAGGGGATTTAGTGTCATTTTAGGGTCATCACACAAAATATTCATGTTAACTGCCACTGTCCTAGCAATGGAGAAAGAAAACAAGTTGGCACAGTTTCTTCATGCCCAGGCCCGGAAGGAGATGAAAGGCCCTTCTCTATCACAATTGTCACTGTCCTGGGAGGGAGAGAAGAGGCAGTATCTGCTGGACTTAATTCCTTTCCACATGGCCAACTTCTTTTCCATTTGTGTCTTAATTAGATTGTAAGCCTCAGGACAGGAGACTTTTGTTGTTCTTTTACTTGTAAAGTGCCATGTATAGTGACGGCACTACATAAAGAAACAACAGTAATAAAAACACTGGACATTACTTTCCCAAATATACTTTCTAGATGTAATTGCAAACATATTTCCTACACAGAAACAATTCCTCTGCAGGGAGTTTGATATAAGCAGCAGTTCTTAACCACTGTTACCAAAAAACACAATCTGTATAACTCTCGAAATGCTACTTTCATTCCACCCAGCACCACACCACAGAAAGAATGTAATGAGTCTCAAGGAATCTCTTTCACAAACCTTGTTAAATAGAAAGGCTCGTCCTGTAGCTCCTGTGAATCGGGTCGAAATAAGCTCTGATCGGTTTGTCAAGATTGTGTCACAGTTTGCACAGGAGAATAGGCGAGTACCACCAATGTGATCCAGGAAAATTCGACCCATTTTTCAAGTATACTGGTGTCCTGAAAAAAGCAAGAGCACGATATTGCATCAAAGTTTGCAATTCCTTTCACAAAATCTCTGAAAATGAAGGGGCAGAACACCAAGGAATTTTTCCTTACTGTTTCAATGAGAGGGTTAATTCTTTCTCTCTCTCCATGGCCACTGAGGGTACTTAAGAATACATATTTGTAAAACTTCTTTCAGCATTGATAGAAAAGCAACAAGAAGATTGAATTTGTGCAGAAAGACAAGTGCTCATGCATAAATCCCTCTTATAGAAACCTGATCTCCCCTAATGACATTTTTCTACAGGAGAACAGTATGTTGTCACATATATTTGAAATTTGATCTCTGATTTGCTGTATTGCAGTTGTTTGTCTCCAGTCCCTGATCCCTGATCCAAATATTTTTAAAATGCATATTATGAAAAAGGGAATACTGCTGCAAGGCTCTCAGATACATATCATGTTGTTCTAACGTAACAACAGCAATAAATAGTAAGAAGATAAAAAGAAACCATGACTCATAAATTTCAGTAAAAGCAGACCAATTATCTGAATACAAATCTCTCGTAAACTGTATCAATATATTAATATTCAAATGCTGTAAAGACTGTTATATCTTCCATTTATTGGATCAGAGATATGTTGGCCAAATTTCCCTCACAGAACCCCATGACCAACAGAAAATACTGTGTTTTCTTATGGTCTTTGATGACCTCTCTGACACCCCCTGGTGACCCCTCCAGGGGTCCCAACCCCCAAATTGAGAAACACTGGTCTATAGAGTTAGTGCCAACTACAACAATTTACCTGGAAAGTTACAAAGCTTAATGGTCAGTGCATCGAGTTTGAAAGAAAAAACATCCCAGCTTCATACTCTGGTATTTCCAGATGTATGGCTTCAAGTTGTCTGTTGATATATGGTGACCTCATGAATTCCATATGGTTTTCTTAGGCAAGGGAGTACTCATAAGAGGTTCCTGATTCTGAAATATAGCTTCAGCTTCTGGTGACTTTAGGGTAATTCTCCAGATAGGAAGAAAGCTCTACTACTCTCATGGAAAGCTCAACTACCATCAGTGAAAATATATTAAAGATGAGCAATCCACAGAGGTGTTTTTGCACCCCCTCAAAGCACGGTCCCTGTACTTCTCTGAATATTTAGGGGCTCTGAAACTGTGGAATATTTCCTCCAAACCCAAATATCTATTCCAAGTTTCTAGAGGGGCAATCTCACCAGGGTGAAATTGTTTTTAGCCCTGTAGGCCCCCAAAGGTCCTAGAAATGGAGGCATTTAGGGACAAACATTTCAGACTCCCCAAATTTTGGATGTGGCATGAAAGAGAAGCAATGACTTCTTCTTAGTTGGACAATGCTGTTGCAGACAAGACACTGAGAGAGATGATCAATGATTGATTCTGTAAAAGGCTGCTTCATCTGTTCCAAAAGGATTAAGTACAGACTTGCCAGGAATAGTAACAATTACCTGAACTATCTGTGCTATATTTTCCTGTCTGAGGATGTGCATGAATGACACCGATAGCAGGTACAAGCTATTTTTCTTGTTGGAAGAGAAACAGCTATGGGGCTGGATTCCAAAACTGTTTATAATGAGCAGGGTAGACCTCAAGACCGGCAGATTAATAATTATCCACAGATAAAATTTTAAAAAGCACTGAACATTCCCTATAATCTTCAAGGGTGCATTCCATCCTCTCGTTATGTTCCACATAGCATTCATGAGCCAACATTTTTTGGCCTACAGGAAATGCTTCATTTTTCCAAGCCTTTTCCTTATTTACAGTATCAAAATGGAGGATGTGTGCGCGTGCAAATTTATTCACATTTTGGCAAATTCCTCACAACAACTTGTTGTTCAACTTAATCCCGACCCATCAAAAATCTTCATATGCCTATGGTTTGAGAGAATGGCTCCCCAATAGCATCTGAGTTAAAAAAAATTCCTAAGGGAGCTCAGCTAGACATAAATCTCGGTTCCGTTTTGGCCTATCCCGAGATGCTCAGTCCTTCTTAGCTCAGTCCTTCTTGGGAACCTTGGTCCCTGCCCATTTTCTGGTATCTGTGGATGATTACATAGTTGAACAATGACAGACACTGGCACCAAGTGACATGAGCCAGAATCCTGCATATATGAGATACAGACATTCCTGCTTATTTGACATGTTTAGGATCAGAACACAATCAAGAAGTGTAGATAGCTGAAATATGAATCCAAGACGGAAAGCTAAAAGTCTTCAGAGTGCAGTGGAAAGTTGTTTATAAGCACAAGTACATACTGTCATAAGACAAGAGCTACACCACAAATGACTTCTATATCGTATTGCACACAAGATACCAACACGTCAATTGAAGGGAAAAAAAGCAGTGCATGTATGAAAGAGCAGATTTTGCACTCAATGTATGAGCTGAAAGAGTGGGTCATTGAAAACACTTGTACCACCCAAAGATTATAGTCTTCCCTCTTGATAAATTATAATGATTTTCCCCCTCAAAACACATATTATTACATGTAAACTCCATAAAAAGATGATTCTACACCAAATATGTTCCCATATACACATTCAGTGTTGAAGCAGTCATAAGGTCTTCCATACATTGAGCAATACAGAGTGGGCATCTGAGTTCTCAGTAGTACTCAGAATGGAACTGTATGGAGTACATTTCTTTTGATCAGAACTCCATTTCTTACGTATCAGCAAATAGGTCGAGAGCATGTCTAAGTTTGCAAAATTCCAAGAGTGTTATAGAATGAAATTAATTCTAGTAATTAACATTACCCTAAAGCGATCTATGACTTGGCAAAATCAAAATCACGACTTTAAGAAATGCATGAGTAGAATTACAACATCACACTTAGCACTGAAAAATATTAAATAAATACAGGGGAAGCCTGTAGTTTAAAATCTAGTTTTAGAATGCATTATGCAAGACCATTTAATTGACTAGTTGGGAAAACTATGGCTAGCTGGTCATTCATAGAAACACAGAGTTGGAATGTGCCTTCTGGGCCAGCAGGTCCAACCTTTCAATTCATTCCTAAAATTCAGAGGACATTTATTGACAGACAAGTACTTATATCCAAATACTACAGGTTTCTTCTTCTGCATAGACCCAGGAAGCCTATCTAAAAGTAGAATATGCTTTGAAGCACTCAATTTGCAGCGCCATATCTATAAATTAAAATATGTTGTCAGTGACAACAGTACCATTCTCCAGAAACTGGCAGATGATGTCTCAGTTTTAATCCAGTGTATGGGAGAAATTCATCAGAAGAGCAAATATAGTTGACCTTCTATATTTAGGGATTCAAGTATCGCTGGTTTGAAAATATTTCTGTCTCATATAGACACTTTTTTTTTCCACACAGAAGTCTACTTGGGTCCATTAAGTGCATTTATTATTAGATTTAAAATACACTTTTCTTTCAAACTGGAAATCACATTAGTTTACAACAAAACTGATAAAATTTACAAATAACACAAAAAGCATGTGGAATAAAATGTAATTAAGTAAACACTGTTCGATTACAATTTCAATTCACACTAATATAAAAGTACAGTAGCACTCGCGTTAGAAGCTTTTTATTCACCTGTCAATTAATTGCTAAAAGCCTACATGAACAAGAAGGTCTTCGTAAAATTATCCTCCCATTTTTGGTCCTTTAACTGCTAATCTCTAAATACGATTCTAAGACAAATCCACTCTGCATTTTTAAAGGTCTGAACACATGATAGCTATCAAGAATCAAACAAAAAGCATGGTGATACAATTATCAGCAGCTCATGCAATCATATCCCGTGCAATTAAGAGAGACATAATTAAAACACTCCTGAAGATTTAAAGACTTTCAAGAATGGAAAATCCACCATGTTTTAAGGTAGTACCATTCCACTGTTGAATATTCTTACAATAATTAAGTTTCTCCTAATGTTTGAGTGGAATCTTTTTCTTGTAATCTGAATCCAACTGATAATGTTTCAGTCTCTGGAACAGCAGAAAACAAGCTGGCGTCGTCTTCTACATGACATCCATTCAGTTATTAAAAGATTACTATCATGCCAGTGTTCAGTGTTCTCTTTTCCAAGCTAAACCTATCTAAGTCTCTAAGTTATTCTTAAGCAGTCTTGGTTTTCAGACCTTTAACAATGTAGATCACTCTTCTCTGGACATGTTCTAGTTTAGTGATATTCTTCTTGACCTATGGAACTCAGAATTGAAAACAATATTCCTGGTGAGATCTGAACAAATCAGAACACAATGGCAAACTACTTGCCTTTCTCTGGATATTATACTTCCATTGATTAGTCATGGGCCCGGTATTTGTATCATCTGTTTATTTTGCGTTTCCGTTTCATACCGTCCATTCAGGTGGCATGAAATGGTACACCCCTTCTGGTATGGAAATATCAGTGAAACTAAAGGAAAGTTACCATTTGCTCACCTGATTTTAGTCTCATTGGCAGCAATGGGTGAGCTTCCCACGCTCCCCTTCCCCTCCGTTTTAGGGCTAGAGGGGCTCACCATTTCACTGATCCTCAGGCTCTCTCCAGCATTAATTTGAGTTGTTAGGCTTGGTGAAATAAACCTGTCTCTGAATCCGGATAGGAAAAATGCAGTCTGTGGCTCATTGATGCTGCTTTTGCAGGCCTTGGGTCTTCTTCAGGCTCTATCATCTTTTTAAATGGGTAGCAACCCCCCTGCCTAAAGGCCCAAAGTGCCTGCGACTGCCTGGGCTTGCAAACAAGCACTGAGTACCTAGTAAGAGGTGCTCTGTGCTCTGCTTGGCTGCAAGCCCTGGCAGTCATGGGCACTTTGGGCCTGCAGGCCACATACACTCTCTCTTAAAGAGTGTTTCTTTCCAAGTTACTGTGTGTTGAAAAGTACAGGGGGGGCTTGCTACCCATTTAAAAAGCAGTTTAAAGGGGCTGCAAAAACAGCATCAATGAGCCACAGACTTCATTTTGCCTATCCGGAATCAGAGACGGGTTTATCCTGTC